CGTGCGGTGCCCGGTGGCCATATGGAGGCTGTGCTGTGTTTCGTCCCGCCGCCGCCGCCCCCTTTTCGACACAGATTGTATTATATTATATTATCAAAACCCGGGTAGCCGACAGCCAAATGCCTGGCCGAGAAGGAGCGTGACAGGAGGGGCGGCCTGGCGCAAAACCACCGAACCTGGGTTCGGTTTTTCTGCGCCCCACGCCGGGGAGAAAGCGTGGACACGGCTGGGGGAAGGGGAGGGCAATTGGAGACATCTCTTTTTTTCTATCCCCTTGTCCTGGGCCTGAATAAGTCTATGGCTACGGCGGGAGGACAGACCGGACAAAACCCTCGGTAGAGCTTATCTGTGAGAGTGAGAGAGGGTAAGAGAGAGAGGGCCACTTAATTATCCTTCGAGGGCACAGCACACACCAGTACACGCCAGCTTGATGAATCCCCCTCCCTCTCAACAACCACCCTTCTCCCCGGTTTGTCCGTGAGAGTGTGAAGTTGCAGCGGCACAGACAAGACATCATCATCTCGTCCGATTGAGGACCCCTCCCCTCCCCCCCACACCCCGGCCGTCTCTCTCCCCGAAGGCACGCTCCGCTTATGCAAGGAGCTAGGTCCCCTTGCTGCCACCTGCTCCCCCTTTTCCTGCGCAAAGATGGAAAACAAATCGTGCTCTCTTTTTTGGCCCGTGCTGTTTCAAAACATCCGTGCTCATTGAGCCGGGATCAAGAGCTACCCATGAACTACCCGTGTCACCCTCAAGGGGAGTTTATTTATGGGCAAGATAGTGTGAAAAAGCAGCAATTTTGCCTCCCTCCCGGGATTAAATCCCTCCAATTGATTTTTTCTCCCTGTGCCCCTTCAAATAAGCTGCACTGTGCATGTACAACGACGGCAAACCCAAAGCCAGAAAAACATGGGATGAGGGTTCAGCAGGTCTTTCGGAGAAGGAGGGGGTTGGTTGTTGCGTGTGCTGTTGTGAGGCGGGGGTGGGATGGCGAGGAGGGGCGGGAAAGCGGGGAGAGAGAAGCAAACAAGGGGGGGATGGGGGAGCAGGGGGGCGGAGGGACAGGGACCAGGCCAGGCGGGTTCTGTGTGCGTGTGTGGGAAGCTGGGACCATTGGGGGAGGTGGATGGTCGCCGTGCATACCCTACTGTGTTAGGTGGTTAATGGTGGCTTTCTATTTCGGAGTAATACCTTTCTTGGTAAGCGAATTCGTGATGATTGCCTGTCCTGTTGTTGGTTGTTGTCGCGGCGGAGTTGGAGGTTGGGGGTTGAGGGATGAGGGATGGAAGATAGGAGAAGAGGCAAAGCATAAAGTTTGTCGTCATTGTTGAACAATGGGAGCAATTAGGTAGCGGCCGCACTGTAGTCAGCTGTTAGCTTGTTAGCTTATTTGGATGGATGGATGGATGGATGTCTGAGAGGGGCACCGTCGTTCCCGGATCTTCTGCGCTACTGCGTAACGGCAGCGCAAGCTTTGCATGAACCGCTGTGGCTGTCTGCACGGGGTGCAGGACCAGTGCCAGTGGTGGCAGAGACCGCGGCGCAGAAACCCACGACCTTGCATGTCTTAGCACGCGGCGGTATACCCACATCCCCAGATCACGGATCGTACATGTCTGCACGGCGTGCTGCAAGTGAGGTTAGTTGGACGACTGCCATATTTCCTTTTCCTTCCCACAACGCCCCCTTCAACGGCGCCGGCGCAAACACAATAAGAACTCCACAGTCTGGCGGAAAGGACCGGGAGAATTCCAAAGGACCACTTCTCCCGGCCAGGTCGTGCGAAGCGAGCAGAGACGCCCGCCGAGGCAACACTGGAAGCACGAGAGCGGCGCATTGGCTCGGAGTCGCTATAGCCGGGGGGTTAATGGGGGTAACATGGATTCCATGGCATGCATGGAGGGAAACGGGAAACGGGAAACGGCAAGGCATGAGAAACACCGGCAGTGTCAGTGCTAGTTAATGTCGACGTCGATCATAGCGCACAGTCCCCAGAACCCTGTGGTTCGAGACCAACGGGAAACCCCTCAGATCTCGGGCCTCAAGGTGACGAGGTCGAGTTTGACGCTTCGCAAAAGGGAAACGGAGGGTGCCGTCGAGTCCCTTCCAGTGGGCGGGCCCCCAAAATGCCCTCAGCGATGTGACGCTGAAAGGTCTCACAGAGCCACTGCTATTGCCACTACCACCACGGAGAAACCCGTCGCTTGGTCGCACAATGAAATCTTTCTCTTGGGCCTCGTTCTCGTCCGCCGAGAGCACAAACTCGGTAACGTTATGGTGAGAGTGAGATATGGGACCCCTGGATACGAGAGGGCGAAGGAAGGCTTTGCCTCCTCGGTTCCAGCAAACAAACATTGATGCTTGGAAGAAAAGGGGGATCTGTGGGCAAACACCCAATGCGAAGGCTGGTTCTATGAAATGCATTGTTTTTGGGGAATTGGTGATTGACAAGCAAAATTCAGGCAGAAGTGGACTGTGCCTCAACCTCATGTGACTTCGCGCCAGTGCCCGCGCAGGAACGTGAGACGGTTGCACGGTGGCCACACGCGAGTCGTGCACTTCCAACCGCGTGGTGGAGTGAGTGGTTGCCGCTCCTACCATTTGAGGTCTTTGTTGGGTTTGTAAAAATGACTCGGCAAAAGTTGCAAAATTCGATCAAGATGGAATTTCGGTTATGAGAATATCATTAATCGTAATATTTTCCCACGATGCCACCACCAACACCAAACCTACCACCACCGGCAAAGTCACGATACAGTCGCAGTTTCGATCCATGGAATTCGATATCAACAGGCCATCAGCGTGCCGAAACCAGCGGACCCCAAGGATGGCGTGAATCACGGAATCTAAAAATGAATAGCCAGTTCCGCGGCGGGAACTCGGGCGGTCCGCGCATGTCGGACACGGTTGGCGTCGGGTCCGAAGACTTTGACGACCGTCTGGGCATGTTCCTACCGAAGAAGGTCCGGGCCCGCGCCGTGAGCTGTTTTGCCGACATGCTGCGCAAACCGGGATCCATGCGGGCCCCATCGCGGCCCTCCTCTTCGTCTTCCGTCTCCCATCGCCCCTCTCCATCCCTAGAAATAGGGCTGGGAGACGCGGGAGACAACAAAATCGACGCTGGGTTAGCCGCCGAGGAGAAACCGATTTCTTGCTCACGGGGGCTAGGGACGAGGCGAGTGAGGAGGATAACTTGAGGCGGACCCAGGAGCCCAAGATCTTCGATGGTCTGGTCATCTACGTCAACGGCAGCACCCACCCGCTCGTGTCCGACATCAAGCTCAAGCGTCTGGTGTCCGAGCATGGGGCGCGCATGTCGCTCCACCTCGGTCGCCGCCAGGTTACCCACGTTATCCTGGGAAAGCCGTCCGGCCCGAACGGAGGTGCCGGCGGTGGGTTGGCGGGCGGCAAGTTGGAGAGGGAGATCCGGCGGGTTGGCGGTTGCGGCATCAAGTTTGTCGGTGTCGAATGGTGAGTTTGCATGATACGCCCACCCTCTCTTCTCCCGCTTCTTTGTCCCCTTCGGCGACCCCGTATGTCTCGGATCGCATGGATACTGTGCAGAACCAGCTGGTTGACTGACCACGATACGCTCAACCAGGGTATTGGAAAGCATCAAAGCCGGCAAGCGACTTCCCGAGGCGCGGTTCGCCAATCTCAAAATCGCCGCTCGGCGCCAGCAGAGTGTTCTCGGAGCCTTCTCGAAAGGCCGACGGGAGCACGCTGCAGCTAGCCGCCAACCCCCCTGGAAGCTAACACACCGCCCCTTACTACACGTCTGCTTTTCTTTCTCTCTTCACTTCTCCCAGCTCCCCTTGTTTTTCGGATCGCCATGACTATGGTCGGGACGTGGGACAAGGCTATCGTGTAAGGGGGCTGTCTTGTTTGCTACGGCCACGTTTAACTGCAGCATATATTGCCTTGCATAGGAGCCCACGTCTGGATAGGCTTGCTGGGTTTGGGTCACACGATGAAACGGGGCGCTTGACGGGTATTTGCATCACGATGTCGCATTTGCATTTGCACTCTACATTTGGGGGGTCAGACAGACAGGCGCTAGGAATGGCTTGCATAACTTGTGTTTCTCAGAGTTCAAGATCCGCCGTGTCTCAAACTGCTGGTTGGTTGGGCGTTTGTTTACTTTGGCTTTTGTGTTCTCGTGGGCGATTCTGAGAGGAATTGCCCCTTGGCTTCAGTCCCCCTGGACTCTCCCACGTCGACAGCAAGTAGGGTAGCTGAACGGATGTCGACACATGTTGGATTGCCAATGGAGGGATCGCATACCCTCTGGGACTGACACCCGCCGTGTTCAATGCCCCTTGACCGATAGCGCATCTCACACGACCGAGCTTGCCTCGTCAATGCTATCTCTGTCTCGGCTTTAGACGCCGGTGTTCTTTTCCAGCCTGTCCATGCTTGCCCAGACGAACCCAGAACGTTCGAGTCGGTGCAATCCTTCTCTGCAGGGCGTCGTCGGACAATTTCCCTCCCCGGCCGCTCGGCCACTCCCTGTCAGCACACGACTCTCGGGTCTCACGCACGCCATTGCACCCGCACTATCGAGATGGGTCTAGGCAGTCGTGCTTGTGCTGCGTTACATCCCGCCGCCTTTCCCTCACCCTCTCCTTCCTCCCTCCCCATCCACCACCGGCGGCCGGGACCCTATTCCTGGGGCCGCTCGTTCTCCCAACCTCGCCCCTTTTCCCGCCTCGTCCCACCCGAGCATCCATCGTGCCATCTCCAGTCAATCGCTGAACGACATCCTCACCTCCCAGACCCTAGCTAGCCTCCCACGCCACCGCCAATCACTGCCCCTTCTCTCACCATATACCTCTATCTCAAACTGGACTATCTCCCACCGCGTGTCACAACGGCGCCGACACCGAACGGGAATACTGGGGGGAAGTCGACAGACAGACAGACAGACAGATCAATAGATAGATACATAGACCGCCGTCGTACCTTTACCCGCCGCCCGCCGCCAAGCCTCGTGATGGACTGGCTTGTCCTCCCTAGATCAGTCTGCCGCCCCCCCCCCCCCCCAAGCACGCCCGTCTACTGTGTGGGGGGGTTTTGTCTGGCTAGCTAGCTAGCTAGTGAGAAAGCCTGGGTTGCAAGCGCATCATCTAGCGTCCGATCCGCTTCCCTGTACATACCCTACCCTGTGCGTGCTCTCCTCCGTTGTCGGTATGGCATGCATGGTGGTTGGGCATGGTGAAGGGGGAAGGGGGAGGGGGGGGGTCATCTGCGTAGTCATTCGCTTGTGGTTTATATAAGCTGTGTGTTTGGTTGGGTGATTTCGCTGCGTTAATGTTGGTGTTGGTCAGCGTCGTGTTGTGTCTAACCGTTGGGCCCCAACAGCCCGTCTCGCATCTCAACGGCTTAGCGGGTGGCATTTGCGTCTGAAGGAAGGATGTAGGTGCTATGCAAACGTTATGGCGGCCAGGCTTCCTTGGGGGAGCTGGTTTCTCCGTCCGGTGGCAAACCAACGGCGTATTTGCCGGTCAATATCAGAGTGAACACATCCCCTTCCGCTCTACCCTGCAGAAGATACGGGCAAGGGCCCCAATCTGGAGATAGGCAGCATGGCATCTGCCATGCATCGTCGTTTGGTGTGGTGACATAATCACCTAACAATCACTGAGGTCGAGTCATCAAACACTCTCGGACGGCAATGTGTATACAGACCGATGATAGCCCTTTCACGATGAGATACTTCAAGTCCAAACGAGATGGCCGATGAGCCTAATTGCACATAATATAGAGGGATGGAGTTACTAGTAAAATTCCGAGCCAAGCTAGAGCTGCGATATTTAGCTATTTCCTTTTCCCGGCGTAAGTGCTAGAGTAGAGTGTAAAGTATATATATATGTTGGTATAGCAGATGATTCCTTGTTGCTCAGAAAGTGAAATCCAGGGTGAAGCAAATCCAACATCCATTAGGGGCATCAAACCAGAGAACATCCAAAAAATGGATAATAACAACGGGGTAGGCACATTCTTGCTGGGACCCTTCAAAAGCATCAACCCTCTTTATTCGTACAGCACCTCATCTACAACTAAGTCAAGGGTGCAGCCATCCAGACACCACGGGCAGCAACAAACCCGGGATTCGGTTCACGCACTTACGAAATCGACTCTGAATATAATCCTACATCCCTAATACTCTGCTCGTTCCTATTAATATCATAGCAGAAAAGCAGCACAGAGTCGACTCTTGTTGTGGTTAAGAAGTACCCTCCCGAAACTCCCACCGCGAACTGTCTTGTAACCAAGAACCATCCCACACCACCATTCAAACAAACCGCCACTACCTGCCCCTGGCCTGCTTCCTTCAAACCTTCAAACCCCAACGCACCCCTCAAAGCTTCGCTCTCCCCTCCACCGCGCCATGCCTCCCACTCTTGCCCAACCCCTCAAAATACCCCCTCACCGCCTCCCTCGCCACCCCCACGACGGCGACATCCTCCACCGTCGACGGCACGGCCACCTCGCGGTCAAACTCGCCATGCACGCCATTCTCGAGCAGCTCCCTGAGCACGCGGCGCAGCGTCTTGCCCGAGCGCGTCTTGGGGATCATGCCCTTGCCGCGGATCATGCCGCCTAGGCTGGCGATGGGGCCGACTTGGGAGCGCACGAGTTTCTGGATCTCGGCGAAGAGTTGGGTGTCGGTGCCGGTGCCGGTGCCTTCAGATGGGGAGGTGGTGGTGACGACGAAGGCAAAGGGCATCTGGCCCTTGAGGGCGTCTGGGATGCCGACGACGCAGGCTTCGGTGACGAGCGGGTGGGAGGTGATGGCTTGCTCGAGGGCGCCGGTGCTGAGGCGGTGGGCGGCGACGTTGATTATGTCGTCTATGTTTGTGTTGGTGAGTGGGAGTCGTTAGGTTGATATGGTAGGAGGATGGGGGCTTACCTGTTCGCGCCATGATGTGGATGTAGCCCCTCTCGTCAATCCACCCGGCGTCACCGGTGTCGATCCATTTGCCATCGAACCGCTTCAAGTAGCCCTTGTAGAACCTCTCTTCGTCTTCCCAGAGTGTACGGAAGGCGGTGGGAGCAAGGGGGAGAGCCAGGACGATGTTGCCCATCTTGCCGCGCTTGATCTCGCGGCCTTCGTCGTCAACAACCCTGTAGCTGGTTAGTAACGGATATTGATAAATATGAGCCAGCGGAGGAGCCTACCTCACGTCAAATCCGGGCATCGCCTTGCCTGCGCTCCCGGGCTTGATGTCCAGGGGCGGCTGTTTTTCTTTCATGCCCGTCTGCCGGCACTTGCCAGCATAAGGCACCAGCGCAATGCCAGAAATTGGCGAGCCGGACTCTGACGACCACCAATTGTCGACTACGTCGGCGTTATCGGCCGCGTATCTCTTGAGCAAACCCTGATACATGGTGATAATGGCCGGCTCTGATCGCTCACCGGCGAGGAATAGAGCTTTGAGACTCTTCAGCCCACCGCGCTCTCCGATGCGCGTGAAGTGCGAGTTGTCTGGATCATCCTTGCGGATGGCGCGCAGGGCAGTTGGCGCCGTAAACATGGTGTTGATCTTGTACTCCTCAACTAGGCGCCAAAAAGCGGAGGCGTCGGGAGTACCGACGGGCTTGCCCTCGTAGAGAACCGTGGAGGCGCCAGTGAGGAGAGGCCCGTAGAGCGTGTAGCTATGGGATACTACCCAGCCAATGTCGCTGAAACAGCCCATCTAATAATGTCAGCGGTAAACCACACGGTCAATTTCATGGAGATAGCTTACCACATCGCCTGGCCCATGAATGCCAAACAAATAGGAGATAGTCAGGTGAAGACCAACCGCATGGCCACCGGCCTCTCTCAGCACACCCTTCGGCAGACCAGTTGTGCCGCTAGTATAGATGATGTAGATAGGGTCCGTTGACTTGACAGGCACACACTCGGCCCTCTTATTACGGGCTCTGGCGCTTTTTACTAGGTGCTGCCACTTTCTCTCGCCCTCCAATTTGCGGGTAGGGCGCCAAAGAAGCTGTTCACGTTGCCTATTTATAGTTAGACAGTGGCGCAAAGAACAACATCTGGGGTACCTGCCAGATAATAGTCTTGGATGGTTTCCAGGGCGAGATGCGGACAGCTTCCTCGATGAAGTCGCGGTACGGAATGGGTGGCTTGTTGCCGTCAATGCCACATGAAGCCGTGAGGATGGCAACAGGTCGTGATGCCTCGATGCGTTGGGCGAGTGCACCAGCAGCAAATCCTCCAAATACGACTGCATGGATAGCACCCAGGCGGTTGATGGCAAGAATGCCGATCAGAGCCGCGGGGATCATAGGCACTGAACGCGTCAGTCTCGGGCTTACAACATGACAGGCGGAAGAGGCGTACTGTAGACAAGCACGACATCTCCCTTTTTGACCCCCTCCTCCCGCAGGGCGGCGGCAAAGACCTCGACCTCATCTAGTAGCTGGTTGTACGTGATGCGCTGTTTCGTGTTGGTAACGGGGCTGTCGTAGAGAATGGCCGGGACATCGCCGCGACCAGCAAGGACGTGTCGGTCAACACAGTTGTAGCATGTTGATATCTCACCGTCCGGGAACCACTCCCAATGGCCATGCGTGTCACCCGTTGTGAGAGTCTTGGTTGTCCGACGAAGGGCGGATGAGGGTTTCTTGTGCCAGTATAGTTGCTCAGCCTGATGACCCCAGAAACTCTCAGGATCGTTGAGAGAACGATGGTGCGCTAGGTCCTGGGGGTGGTCCATGAATGCAAACTCTCTGTGCACTTGAGATCAGGCGGTCAGACGGTGCGTGGGTGAGTGTTGCTGTCACTTAGATGGCATGTGGTAATGTGATTGTGACTAGAAGATACACGTAACTAACAAGCAAACACGTATAAAGGACGAACGTTGCTCGCGGTTTCTCTACCCGAACTTTATAATTCCTCTTGTCGGCACGTCAGCATCGGCAATCGCCCAGACGGATACTCGCTCGGGTTGTCATTGCAACCGTGGCGATCCCCGTAACGTTCCGTTACCCCGGCCTTTGGGGTTAGTTGGGCCTGGGGTTCGGCCTGGGCCCCGGGGGATCGGCGCTTTGATGGGGGCGATTGGCTGCCTGTGTTGTGTTGTGTTGCCGAATCGGTTCTCGGAAAGGTGGAATCCAATGCTTCCATCTACTTTCTTGCCTGTGCTGTAGATGTCAACCTGAGCTGGATCGGAGAATTTTTTTGGCCTTGTTAATTTTCATAAAGTGTGCGGAGGAGAGGAGGCTGGATCGCAACTGCCCGGGATAGTTAAAAGAAAGCTGCCCTGTTGGCAGGTGCTTCGGTTGCCCCTGCTATTTCCAGAAAGAATGCTACGTGCTGGCATTGAGGTTGGGGTCTTGGTTTCACGGCTACTAAAGTCACCTAATATTCTCAATTTGGCTCAAGAGTTGTTGCTCGAGGAGCGAGCGCCCTTCTTAACTATGGATGACACTCGACGCCGCTCGACTTCCCGAGCAAGACAAACCCAGACAGATGACTAAATCCCGGGTTTTGCGAAACCGCTCCCTTCATTCTGACATCAGCGCTCAACTAACGTTAAAAGAGTGAAGGTTTCAAGGCAGTTCATCATCATGGAAAGTACCAAAGACTAGAAGGAAGAAGCCGTCGCCACGCGCTCTGGTCAATTTCGCTTACAACACAGCGCCGGCCGTGCCCCCAGATTTCAGGGGAAGACACTCAGGACTGAGTTCAAGGCACATTGGATACACGAGGTTGAGTGATTTCAAAACAAACAATGAATTGAATCATGGCGCTACGCAAACACGAGACTGGTGGCTGCTGTGAAAGTTGTCCCCAGAAACGGCTGCTCCCGAAACAGCGTGTGGAATGCTCAAAGCTCTGCTCTGGGCCGTCCCGGGCTCCCGGGCGGGAAAGAACAAGCTTGGACAGAGCTGTCAACCACTGCTGTCCTTCTCAAATATTTGACCAACCAGAGCCACATTGACTACGATGTCATGGAAAACAGAGCAAGCACAACAGCAAGGTGATCACCAAGGTTGGAGAGTACTACGAACAAAACATTAAGCGTCTTCACAAAAGAAAAATAGCCGTCGATGTACATCGAGAACGAATCCCGACAAAATGATAAGAGGTTGAAAAGTGTCGGTATTTGCCAAAGAGGAACACAATTCAGAGAAGCCGTCCACACTTCAGCAGGAGCGCAGCGAAAAAGCGCCGCAGCGACTCCTAACCGAGAGCAGAGAATCGATACAGGAACCCATCCGCCAAACCGGAGAGAGCATCCTGTCAACATCCACCATCCAACACTACCATCCAACCAACAACCCAACCCCATCTCGGCGTCCCCATCTTCCCCCATCATGAGCAATCAACAATTAACTCTCGACATCAGACCCCTGCTCAAAAGAGAAGGAGCTTAGAGCACGAAAGCAGCCAGACCGAGGACACCCGCAAGGGCGCCACCGGAGAAGACAACAGCGCGGCCGGCACCGGCAGTCTCAATGGGCGGGGAGGTGGCGGTGGTGGTGGGGACCGGGACGGGGGGGAGAGAGACGGTGCCGACCCGGGGTGGAGACAGCCGGGGGAGCGGCCGAGGTGCTGTTGTGGTAGGCGGGGGGGCTGGGGTTGGGTGGGTTAGTTTTGTTATTGTTTTTTTTTCTTGGGAGGGAAAAGGGGCAGGCATACCAGTTGTTGCAGACGACCGAGGAGATGGTGGTCACGGGCACCTTGATGGTGCAGGGGCAGTCGGAGATGGTGAGAGTGGTGGCCTCGGTGACGGTGTAGGTGTTCTCGCCGTGGGTGATGGTGGTGGGGCCGGGGCAGTAGGTGGTGACGGCGGTGACGACCTCGGTGGTGTAGACGACGGTCTCGTTCTTGAAGGCCATGGCGCCAGCGGCGAGGGCGAGGACGGCAGCGAACTTCATTTTGACGGATTTGTTCGGGGGTATTAAATTATGTACTCGACGAGTATTTTCCGTTTGGAGGTTGTCGTAGAGGCTTGAAAGCACGAATGCTTTTAGGCGTTGGATTAACGAATGGAATTGACTAAAAAGTCGGGTTGCGTAGAGAGCGTGTGGGTGAGGAGAGGAAGGAAACGGATGCAAGGATGCACGAGCGGAACTGGTGTTTTTAAAAGACCTCAGCAGGTGAGCCACCGGCCGACCAGACCAGCACCCCCCAAAGCACACGGCAACCGGCGAGATGGCATCCTGGTCAACTCGCGCCGGTTGCCGCCCCCTTGTCCCCGGCGCGGCCATCCAATTTTGCTGATGCTTCCATCCGAAAATGGTCAAATCACAGCTGCTGCAGGGATGAGAGAAGGGGAGGGTGGGCCGAGGTGACAGCGTGCCAGCCAACAGGAGCGGTCTGCTCGCCATGCCCAGAAGACCGACAATTTCCTGGCTCGGTGGTTACAGGGATCACGGAGGATCTCGAAGACAACGTTGTGTGTCTCCGCCATTTGGTGCATCTCCTCCTCCTCTTCTCCTGAATCAGTCGGGCCACCTCGGATATCTACCATTCAATTATAAATCGGTGACCTACAGAGAATGCATTATTTGATACACAATATCTCTCTTTGAAGCTCAATGGAAAAGTATGGGTCGTGGAACTGGCTGGTCCAGTGACCTCTGCGGTGTTTGTGAGCGAAAAATAGCAAGACTGCATGCAACCCTAGCCGCGTACCTGCATCTGCCCTGGCGTGTGCCTGGCCACCAACGGTTGGGTCGCTCCGCATGCAAGGTACGCGCCAAACTGGGCTCATTTCCACGATTGCCTAGACCGGGCTTCCAGGCCCGTGAGCACGGCAAATTGCCCAAAAGGAGGTCAACCGAGCAGGCGTCTGTTCGCTATCAACCATTCCATCATTCCATCGGTCGATTAGTTTGTAGACCAACCAGCAAACAGCGGTCGCTACATCCCGTCACAACCAATTGCGAGTCTGGTCCGGTGGTAACGAGCACGCTCTTGTGTAGCTGAGCTCGCATCGGTGGAGTATTATGCCTCGTATCGATTCAATTCATCTCCCATGTGCCAGCGCATTGCTGTTCGGTTAATCACTCTCTTCCAAGCATGGAATCGATTGCCTCAATATCTGCAAGCCACCGGGGTCACCCAAATCATTCGGGGCCTCTCCCCAAATCCTCCTTGATGTAATCTCTCTGGACAGAGCAACGAGTTAGTTATTTGCGGTTTGCTTGAGATTCGCGTGCCGTCTGATCTTAGACCGTTCACCCCTTGACCGAATCCCTCGCTTCTGGGCCCAGGCCTGCCGATCGTTAGTAGATCCCCGACTTGCCGAGTCCAGATCGGGCAATTCCCAAAGCCTGGGAGATGTTGCGATCTGATCGGATTTGCCGACGACTTTGCGGAGAGCTCGAGCCTTGGCTTCATAGGACCGACGACGACCAGAATATAGAGACACTTTGTAGTCCCGAATTACAAGTAGAACTAGAACAGCCTCACATAGGTAGATGGCTACATAGCCCCCTAAAGATACCCTAGTTGGCAGCGTGCCGAAGCTACCGAGGCTTCGTGAACCGCGAGTTTGACGTCGTGCGCAGCAGATGGGAATGGCATCATTATCGATAAAATAAAGATACGAGGCACAATAACCAATGCAAAGCTGTAACTTTTAGAATAAAAAATATGAATCGTCGAGTCAAAAGTCCGCGACATCCGATGACCACGCCGCCGTGCACGCTTCCACCCTCTGCCCAGAGTCCGAAAACCGGGCCCGGGCGCTCCGGGTTTTGGCCGGCCGGACCGGATAACGTCATCGCATCCCTCGGCTTGCGCCGCCCTGCATTCGTCTGAACCCCACCATTCCAACATCTCCCCGACCCGCCCTCCGTCTCAACTTTTTGCAAGCCAGATTGAAACTTATTTAATGGTCTGACTCCAAAACTAGCAACACCACTGCACACCCCCCCAAGAACACTACCAACACAATGGCCTCCGTCATGAAAGCCATCGGTGCGTCGCGTTTCCCCCCCTCCACCACACCTACCCTCTAGATAGCCCCTCCCACCACCACCAAACACTCACCAACCCACCAAAACCAGACATCCAAAACGGCTCCGGCCCCGCGACCTCCCTCTTCCTCAACCCCTCCACCCCCCTCCCCACCCCCGCCCCCGGCCAAGCCCTCATCAAAATCCACGCCTTCGGCCTCAACCGCATGGACCTAATCCAGCGCGAAGGCCACTACCCGCTTCCGCCGCAAGCCCCCTCCACCCTCGGCGTCGAATTCAGCGGCACCATCGCCTCGCTGGGACCTCTCCTCCCATCTTCACCCTCACCCACCCCCACGGCAGAAGGAGCAGGGAAAGAGGAGTTCCAACCCGGCGACGCGGTCTTTGGGCTCGCCTACGGCGGCGCGTACGCCGAGTACGTCGCCGTGTCGACGCGGATGCTGCTGCGCAAGCCGGCGCACCTGTCGTGGGAGGCGGCGGCGGGGATTCCCGGAGACGTGGATCACGGCGACGCAGGCGCTGCATTTTGTGCTGGGGGGCGTGGATAGTGTGGAGGGTGAGGGTGGCGGGGACAGGAAAAAGAAGAAGAGTGTGCTGTGGCATGCGGGCGCGTCCGGGGTTTCGATCGCGGGCATTCAGTTATCGCGGTTGGCGGGCGCGAGCGAGGTGTTTGCGACGGTGGGGACGGATGCGAAGTGTCGGTTTGTGGAGAGGGAGTTGGGGGCGGATTTGGCGGTGAATTATAAGGAGAGGGATTGGGTGAAGGAGATATTGGAGAGGACTGGGGGGAGGGGGGTGGATTTGGTGGTAGATTTTGTGGGGGGGGAATACTTCCAGAAGAACCTGGATGTGGTGGCCAGGGATGGGCGGATTTGCATGCTGGGCTTGATGGGCGGTGCGGTGGCTGAGAATGTGAACATCGGGAAGTTGCTCTACAAGAGGGCTCAGGTCGAAGAGGAGCACCCTGCGAGCCGGGACGAGAGTACCAGGGGAGGTGAGAGATAAGCTGGAGGAGTATTTGCCCAAGTTCGAGAGCGGTGAGCTCAAGGTGCTGATCGATACCGTCTTGCCATGGGAGGACATTGTCAAGGCGCACCAGCTGCTGGAGGAGAACAAGACCATGGGCAAGATCATCTGCACCATTTCGTAAACATTTAGAAAGAACAAACAATAAACAAGACATGATACCCGTCTGCCCACAGAACCCCCAACCGGAACGCCTGAGTGATGCTAGCTCGTTTAATGCTCGTTGATCCATTTCAGCATCTGATCAAACGCCGTGACCTGCGCAGACTTGATGTTGGCGTCCTGATAATCTCCCACAACGGCGAAGCCTGTTTCTCATTAGCGGAGTCCTCCCACACGAGATGGATATGCACTCACCATGCGGTACCCCTGGGTAAACCTGCACCTCGTGCTCGACTCCATTCTCACTCATGTACTCCTCTCCCGCAATCCTCACCTCGTCCGGAAACATCGGGTCGTTCTCCACACAAACCACACTTAGCGGCGCCTTTAACCCGGTAAAGTCAGACTTCGACACCAGCGTCGCATGCGCCAACGCGCCTGCCTTGATCTGCGGCGGGATGGTCGCCGGCTGGTTCGCCTCCTCATCCCCCTGTTGCCCCTGCCCCGGGCCCTTTCCGCCGCGCTCCGCAGCCAGCAACAAAATATACCTCGCCCCGAAACAGTACCCCACCGCGTAGACCCCTCCGCCGTGCGAGACGGCGTCGGCGAACTCGTCCCGCGCGCCCTCGAGTACCCGCTCCAGGATCGGCATCACCTTCTCCTCGGTGTGGCGCGCCAGCCACATGTCAATCAGGAAGCTCTTGGCCGTCTCGACGGCCTTGATCTTGAAGGTGTCGAGGAAGGAACCCGTCGAGGACTCGGCGGCAACCTCGGCGGCCGCGGTGCTGTTGGGCGCCGGGTCGCCCCCGAACAGGTCCGGCATGACGACCACGTACCCTTCGGTCGCGAAGCGGTCCGCCTGGATCTGGTTATTGATGCTGTGCAGGCCGGTGCCACCCGTTAGGAGGAGTAGTAATCGGGAGGGTGTGTGCGGGTAGTCGGCGGGCTTGGAGATGTAGACCTGCACGAAAGGGTGTTAGTTGAGCCTGGGATGGTGGGGTGGGCTAAAGGGGGACTGACGTCGACATCGTTCAGCTTGGTGATCTCCCCCGTGGAAGACTGGCCAGCGGGAGTTGGGCGATTAGATGTGCAGTGATCGCTCAAGGTCGGGTTTGCGGGGGCGGGAGCAGGGGCAGCGGGAGCAGCAGTAGCAGCAGGAGACTCATCGCTGGGAGAGGGTGTGTTGGTTTCCTGTGCATCGCTCTCGGGAGCTCTAGTCGCCAACTCGGTGTCCGTCATGGTGGAATTGGTTTGGAAAGGGAAGGAATTGCGGTAGGTTGAGTCGTTAGAAATGGAGATCAAAGAAGAGGGATTGCGCAATGTGGTGAAGTTGGACGGGATCAAGATGACGACGTTAGGAGGTCCCCAAACCTGGGAACCTCGAAGGCCAACTGGAAGCTGTGCCTCGTATCAAAGAGCAGCCCCTCAGGGAGCCCCGAACCCCACCAATATAAGGGTTAGGGTTGATCAAGTCTCAGAACCGTTGCTTGGCGGTTTGTCGTTTTTTGGTTGCTACTGAGAGCCTTCTTGCACATCGAGAAAAAAGACTGGGTAAATAAGGGAAAGCTCATATAACTAGTGATTTGGAAATTCAACTTTTGAACAATTCGAATTCACCTCCTGCTTTTCGCGGTATGCTTATTTCCCATTGAGTCTATAGGGCTGGCTCATAGAGACATCGACGTCGGGGTTAGACTTGACCACCCCGTAACGAACTCCTATTGACATTGAATGGCAAACGCGAGGGCCCATGGCACCGTTGCTTCATGTTTCAGGAGCTTCAGCTCCCTGGCGCGTCATTGCGCATAAAATTTGTTGTGGTGGGGGTTGTGAAGCAGGGGGCCGCGAAAACGGGCATTCTTGTTCTGCACCGAGCGCGGCTCCGAGTCGCGTCGCGCCCACTTTACGCGTAGCGCGTCTGGCCCAAAATGAACTAAAGGACTTGCTCCCTGGCTTCCCCTTTCAGCACTCATTTCCACCATCCACAACTTTGAGACTTGTACTTTCCACATCTTGCACCACAACTGCATCCTGGAAACCACCAATTGAACCATTGTACCTTCCAATACACCAATAATTCTATAAAAAAAGCAAGCACAATGCCTGGTGTACTCACCCGCAAGACGCGCACTCCGCGCGGCAAGCTGGCTTCGACCACCTCGACGGCAACTGCTACCAAATTCACCAAGGTCTCGAAGCAACAAGAGTCTGGGAAAGAAGCACGCACTACCACACCCTTCACAACGCGGAGCGCCAATATCGAGATTGTCCTGACATCAAGAAAGAGGAAGGACCATGACGATGTCGAGTCTACATCGAAAAAGGCCCGGCGGGTATTCGAGTCCGAATCAAGAATCCCGGAATCATCCATCGCGCCTGCCACTCCCATCTCAAAGAAGCGCAAGAGCGTAAGGTTCTCAGAACCCGAAGCCGTCCCGAGCACGCCGAGTCGCGCAGCACCTACCCCTTCATCAAACCGAAAGCGTCAACGCGAATCAGATGAAACCAGCCAAGCCGAGGAACTACTCGAGCGTCTCAACATACAATCATCGCCGGTCGTCAAGCGGAGCAAAACAACAGTTCACCGTCGCGCTCCCAGAAATGACTTCGACCTGCCTAAGGAGCTCCTCGATCTCCTGGATCTGCATTCGGCCTTCCTCAAGACGCTCAGCTTGCAGCCAGACAGCACATCAGCGTCACCCATTGATCTGAACACCCTCTATACGGATGTGACGCGGGCCTGGGGCAAGCGGCATGTCGGCCTCGTGGATATTCAACGGTGCGTCGGCGTGCTCGCCTGGACACCAGTCAAGAGCGACAGCGCGGCACCCAGAGCCCCCTATTTCCTGACCGACTATGGGCGCGACAAGATCTGCATTGAATTTTACCCCGGCGCCGAGCGCAACCCGCTGCACCAGCACAAGCTCAAGATGGACTTCGAAGCCAACCTGCGCACCCTCTGGCTAAGCCGGCGCGACGACATCCCCGCCACCATCTTCATCGGCACCCTCCCCAAGGCCGCGCTCAAGCCGTGCGCGTTGAGCATTCTGGCCCCCAAGACCCAAACAACGCTTGACGCCTTCAAGCAGAGCATCACCGAGCAAAAGCAAAAAGACCAAGCTGCCAAAGCGGCCCTCCTTTCCCAAACCACTCCCCCGGGAGGAGCAGGAGGACAAGCCCCCAAACTCTCCCTCCTCGACCGCATCCGCCTCAAGGAGACGCTCATGGCGCAATCGCCCAGCACGGAGCTCAGCGCGGCCGAGGTGCAGCGGCGCAGCGCCCTGCAGCGCGCGGCGGACGTGGCGGCCGTCGTCGGCATGCTGTGCAAGGCGACGGTGGCCGCGGGGTCGGGCCAGGTGCGCGTGTCCTTCACCATGGCGGCGCTCATGGGCCGGCTCAAGGACTCGATGCGCACGCCTGTCTCCCAGGAGGACGGCATGGTCTGCGTGCGGCTGCTGGCGACGGAGGTGGCGCCGCAGTGGCTGCGCGTGGTCAAGATTGGGGGGAGGGAGAACGTGATTTGCATGATGGGGTTGCAGCCGACGAAGGCGGAGGTGGAGGAGCGGGTGAAGGTTCTGTTGGGATTGGGTTTTATATATTAATGGGCGGTGGGCGTTTGTGTTTGGATGATGTTCTGTATGGATTATTGGGTGATGGATCATGGGTTGGTCTGGGCTGGGTCGTTGGCTGGCTGACTGTGTTTGGTTTTACTGGCGTTATTGGGTGGTTGGGGGTCATGGCGGGAATGGTGCTGAAGCATAGCTAGCATTGGTTTTCTGTTTGTTTTCCACGCGGGGCTCAGGATCACACACGATAGGGGCAACATAGTTATACGAAGACAGAAGGTTAATTTTACCTCGCAAGACGTGTCTATCTGCTCCGCCGTGCTGTGTAACGCCGCCATCGTGAAGCAAATGGCCCAGTCCTCGCTAAATTCATCCCAGTCACGCAAAAAAAACACACTTCTCGTGCTGCCCGACCGTCATCCATCATACAGCAGCAGCTGTGTTTTCCCGCGAGGCCGGGAACCAAATTGGCGGCGCATGGAGCGCTCGTCAATTCTATCCCCTAGCCTCGCGAACCCGACCCCAGAACCCTATCACCCATCCAACCCAGTCATCGCAAGGAAAGAAAGAAGAGAGTCCCAGGTATTGCATGCAAGAGGGAAAAAAGAGAACACCGAATAAGAAAAGAGAAACCCCAGTTTATTTCTTAGCCTTGCGCTCAAACTTGGGCTTGCCGATGTCGGAGCCGCGCAGCTTGACGTTGAGCACGCGCTCCATGGCGGCGAGCACCTTCTGGTCCGGGGTGGCGTCGCCGCGCTCGAAGCTGGCGACGATGGTGGGCGTCGTGTTGCACTTGGTGGCCAGCTCCTTCTGCGTCAGGCCCTTGTTGCCGTTGGCCTGCTCGAACTCGGCCCGCGCCTTCTGGATCGCCTTGCCCACCTCCACCCCGACCGTCTTGGGCTTGACGATGTCGTCCGACCGGTCCACCATGGTCAGCCGCTGCCCCTCGACGCCGCTGGACTGTTGGTTGTTAGTCTTTTTGTCGTGGCCTCGGTAGGAGGAGGTGCTGCTGCTGCTGCTGCTGCTGCTGCTACGTACCGCATTGCCTGTGGCAAACTTCTTCTCCGTGGTGATGGCGGCACCCGTCCGCCGCGCTGCGTTGAGAGCCGACTGACCGCGCACGACCGTCTCGCGGGCGGCGCCACCGCCGCGGCTGACGTTCTTGCCGATCTTGACGGTCTCAGTGTCCCACGCAGACATCTTGACGGTATTTGTAGGAGTGTTGTGGTGGTGGGTTTCGGGTTGGGGGGGGTTGTGGAACGAGGACAGATAAGCCGGGCGGGTTGGTTGGGTATGGAAACGATAAAGAAATGGGCAAGTTCGTTTGCTTGCGTTTGTTCTTTATATACTGCAGGCGATGGCAAAAAAAAAAAAAAAACGGCCGGGCCGATGGCTGGGTTGTTCCCTTTGGAGGCGTTGTTGTTCAAGTACAGTGTGCTCCTACGGTGAGGCGGCCTGGGCGGGGATTTAAGCGGGTAGGTTCTTCGTTGGCGGAAGCTGATGGGCGGCTATCGAACTGGCAGTGACTCGAGCGGCGAAGGTGTGAAGCGCGCCACATTGGGGCTGTGGGGATTTCCAGGTCAGGAACCAGGATTACGCAGGGATGAGCCAGGCTGGCAGTGCAGCATTCATGGGACAAAAATCCATACAGAAAACACACGGCCCGCTGAGTGTGTTTTCTGGTCAACTAACATGGCGACTTGAATCTGGAGCAAACAGACTCGGAACAGAAGATTCACTTTATCAGACTTGGAACAGCCATCATGTGCTACGAATCGATAACCTATGATGAATCGGACTTGATTCGCAATGTCTTTTATTCTCGTTCAATTCCAATTTTCCAACCCTCCAGATCCCCCAATTCCGCAATTCCCATGGAAATCCCGTCCCCCATAATCAACCATGGCCGCTGTCTCGGCAACCCCCTGGGGGGCCATCATCGTGGCCTTCTCTTGTACCGCTTTTTCGGATTTAAACAATGCGGTCCTAGCGGCCTTCTCCCTAATCGTCCGGGAAAAACGCTTGTTTGCTGATTTTCCTGGTCCCGTGCCTCCCCGAGAGGCTCTCATGAAGGCCCTCGGCATCCTAATTTTCGCCTTCCTCCTCCTTCAGTTGCTACGGATGAGGAAGACAAATTCCGAGGCGCCGCGCTGGAATGGGTTCGGCAAGGTCCTTCTGTTTCCGTGTTCTACTATTCACTCACGGTTCTTTCCCAAAAAACACTCCTTCTCTTACCCGTACCTCCTAGTGGGCATCCCCGTGGGGTTCGAGGGCAACGCAGGGGGTATGGTCTCGGTCAAAGCTAAGGGCAAACCGGGACTATTTTCTATTACGCCATGGGCAGGTTGGTTTACCGTTGATGCTGGCGACCACTTGGAACGCGGCAAGTCTGAATTAGGCCTACGTGGAAAATTGGATGAGTACCTCCAAACTCAGGTAAACCCTAGGGCCTACTAAACAAACAAGAATTGCCAATGCTAACATCACTAGGACGTCAATCCGTCAACCTACCCTCATGCGTATTTGATCACCGCTCCGCGGTTTCTGGGTTACCAGTTCAACCCAGTGTGCTTCTGGTACCTATACGATGCAGACAAGCGTCTGGCAGCGATGATCATAGAGTTCAACAACACATTCAGCGAACGGCGCATGTACTTCTTGACGGCAGATCACAGTCCAGCAGTCAAGAGCAAGCGCTCTCCACACCACAACACACACCCACCCACCTTCAAAGAATGGCCCAAAGATTTCCACGTCTCCCCCTTCAGCTCGCTGAAGGGCTCCTACACCCTCACCGCATCCGACCCCCTACACCACCCACCCACATCCACACTCGACACCACCACCACCACCACCACCGCACCCCTCACCACAACCCTCACGCTCCTCTCCTCCCAATCCCACCCCAAACTCACCGCCACCCTCACCTCCACCACCGCCCCCCTCCACCCCTCAGCCATGACCCCCACCCAAAAGCGCCGCTTCCTCCTCTCCTGGTGGTACGTCGGCCTACTGACCTTCCCGCGCATCCTCGCGCAAGCCGCCGTGCTCCACTTCCGGCACAAGCTGCCCGTTTATACGCGGCCGGAGCCGCGGAGGGGCACGCTCAGCCGCCCCGCGACGCGCGCGGAGCGCCAGCTGGAGTGCGTGTTTCGGTGGTATTTGGCGAGGTGTGTAGAGGTGGAGGGGGGGGAGAGGGTGGGGCGGTTGGTGGTGCGGTATACGGCGGCGGGGGTTTGGGGGGGTGATGGTGATGCGTGCGTGTTTCGCTCGCCTGAGGCGGTGGCGGCGGTGGAGGCGGGGGAGCGGGTGGATGAGTTGGTGTTGACGGTGTTGACGCCGGCGTTTTATGCGCGGTTTGCGGCGCGTTATACGGGCTCGCTCAATGCGCTGGTGAGGGAGGCTTGTGCGGGTGGCACGCTGTGGGTGTCGCGGCCCGATTTGCTCGCGCGGTTGATTCCGGCCGAAGAGAACACGGCGCCGCTGGGGCTTTGTGAGGTGTTAGGTCTGGACGGAACGGGCCAACCGGGAAAGCGATTGCTTCGTGGGACGACTTCTCTTTCAGGGCGCTGCAGAACTTGCGTGGTGGGAAGGGGTATAGCTTGTCGGATCTGGATACATATGTCCTGGAGTGTGAGAGTCAGCAGGAGCGGGATAGCTATTGGGACCATGTGTGGAGGTTGATTTTGGCGGAGATGCTTCCGTTTTGGAGCATGGCTTTGCTGGGGCTCGTTTGGTTCATGGCGAAGGTGGGTTTTGTGCTGTTGTCCGTTCGGGTTATCATATGGCCTATCACATGGGTTATAAAGAGGCGGCGGTGACGGGGTCTGTGTATCAGTTGCCGTGGGGTATTATTGGGTAACCTATCTACCTACCGAGCTACCTTCATGTAGTATACCTATTTTCTCCAGAGACATGAATCTATTTTGTTGATAGATTCACCATATGATCACCATTATGGACTGTCCGTAACCCTGTGCCACAAAACTAAGACACCCCCCTGTACATATCTGATTTTATTCCAAATATTGAAACCAAACACTCGGGTTTGGAGTGAGAAAAGGCTCGGCGGCGGAAACTCGGAGTATCCATGGGTTCGTCGTTGGATCAGGGAGATTATCGGAGTTTCGTGTCTCGGCCCCGCAGAATCCTCCCGACTTCCCATGTTGGGGAAGCGAAGATTGGGTTTGCAACAATCGCCGGCCGAACCGCACATGCCAGCCTGATGAACCAGGCATGGCCGCATCAGGGGAATTCCAAATACTCGACAGGAAGCGACACCACAGCGAGTCGGACCGGGGCAGGAGGGGCAGGTCTGTGGGGTTGTGACAAATAAGCTGCCCCGCGGCGGGGCTGATCACATCGCACACGCTGCAGGCGTTCCCAAGCCCGAAGCTCTGTGCAGCTCTGTGCAGCTCCTGCAGCCCTTGCAGCTCTATTTCTAGCATTCTATAGGCTGCCAGTCCTTGGTTTGATCTTCCAAAGGCCGATAGCTACCGGACTATTCCATGCTGCAATCGAACTCAGAAGAACACGACGAATTGATTGCCCCCCTCGAAACGAACAGCTGTGCTGTAACTGCATCCCAATGGCATCCACCCCCCGTGCCCCGCCATCGTCATGAGACGTGCTCTGGCTGCGGTTGGGAGCGAACCTAGGGACGAAAGATGACGTCTGAAATCAACCTGTCATCCACCCTTCGAACCTCATCAACCCAACCATTGGTTCCACCGGGAACAGCGCTTACTGCAGGACATCTCGCGGTGCACGGAGTTCCTGGGGGGGGCGGCGTACAAGGGAGTGGGATGAAGGTCTTTCATACCTGTCCCCGTGGAGATGCTGCTCCAAGTGCCTGCCCACCCGGGAACCAGCAGGCTAGACCATCCATCCCTTCCCGGGAAGCTCCTCATGAGCTTGGTCCCGGGTATTTAAACATCTCTGACGTCCCTATCCCATCCCGTCCCTCTTGCTTCCACATACCGAGTCGCGTAACCATCTCCCCAACTTCGCCTAATACATACCATCGAATTCAACCGAGTCTCCCATCTACCACAACTAAACAACAGCCAACATGCCTCTTTCCGGACACTGCCTCTGCAAGGCCGTCACCTACACGGTCGACATGGACGCACCCATCATCACCGGCTACGACCACTGCGATGACTGCCAACGCCAATCTGGCTCGACCTACTGTGAGTCCTCCCTACTCCCAGGCCTTGGCCCTACCCTCTCTCCCTTTCCCTCTTCAGCATCATCCCCCAGCCAGCTAACGCTATCCCGCCCTGCGCTACAACAGCCCTCGTATGCGTCGTCCTCAAGGACAAGCTCACACGTGAGCGGCCCGGTAAAGAAGTGGGAAGGCAAGGGCAGCTCCGGCCAGTCGGTCTGGCGCTGGTTCTGCGAGGAGTGCGGCTCGCCCATCGCCCACGACCCCGACGCCGCGCCCCCCATCATCGCCCTCAAGGGCGGCACTCTCGACTCGGAGATCAAGAAGACCCTGAAGCCTGTATGTTTCCCTCCTTCCCCCTATCGGCTCGATGTGGATGCGGTGTGGCTAATGAGGAACGGGGGAACAGGACACCGAGATCTGGACCGACGGCAAGCTGCCTTTCTGCCAGGAGCACCTGGAGAAGCCTTTCGCGCGTATGCCCGAGTAAATGAAGTCAGCCGGTTAGAGATTGGGAGCGCAGTCTATGCGTGAGTGGTGGGCCGAAAGAGCTGGCCACAGACATGAAGATGTCCTGGGAGGGGTGATTATGGGTCACATATGTGTACATGCGAGGCCATGCGAATAAACGAATGAAACAAAATTCTGCAATCAGTAGGGCTGGCCGGGACAACTCGTACAGTTCATGCTCAAGGGAATAGAAGAATGAGGTTAACCATCCGGCCCTCGTCGACAATTTTGTGCAGATCAGATCTGTAGACTGGCAACCTGCGACCCAGCAAAAACATGAATGCAAACAGGAAGCATGTGAATTAGGTTGATAGTGTCAACCAAACCATTACGTTAAAGAAACACATATATATCCCAGCGGCAGAAACTCCCAACTCAAAAACAAACACCAAGATGAACCAAAAACCAGAAACCTAAACAAGCCCTCCCAAAACCCCCTTCACACCCTCCAACAACCTTCCCAAATCCAACCCATCCCGTTCGACACCCCTATCCTCACCCAAAACAGTCACCAACACCCCCCCGAGCCCACCCACCTGCTGCTGCTGCTGTTGTTGCTGCACGACTTCATTAGCCTGCGCCAGCAGCCCTGCCAGCGCCGGGACCATGTCCTGCCGCGCGGGGAGGCCGATGTAGAGGTGTGTTCTGCCTGGGGTGCTGTCAAGCGACGGGAGGGCGTTGCCGGCTAGGGCGGCGGACCTGTGTAGGTGGTTGGTTAGTTAGTTAGTTATCCGGACGTGCGCGTGGATGTGAGGGGATGGGGGGGGAAAGGGAGGGATAGGGGGCAGCTTTGTTGCGGGGGGGGGGGGAGGGGAGACACCGCACCAGCCCTTGATGGCGCCGAGAAAGCCGGCGCTGCCGATCTCGCACCGGGAGTTGTTATAGAAGCGTGGCCAGACAAAATTGCTCTGGGCCAGGTAGCCTGGGTGGATTGAGATGTCGAGGTAGGAACAGCCGGGTGTGGCGGACAGGAAGTAGTCTCTGGCTGTGTCGGCGCCAAAGTGTGAGCGCAGCGTGGTCGCGAAGGTGTCGAAGTTGGCGGGCGCCATTCGTCTTGTTTGTCTGTTTGGTTGGTTGGGTTAGGTATTTGGATGGGGAGTTGTGTGAAGCAGCGAGGGGGGGTTACGTATTCAGATCGTATCCGTCCAACACCGCTGAGCCGAATGGGGCGGAGCGAAGGGTCAATATGACCTGGGGGCCCGAAGAGTTCCCCAGACGTAGGTTGACGAACGTGATCGCGTCTTCATCCGAGGCTAAAGGGAGGGTGTTGCCTTCTCCACCAATGCTGAGGAAGATTTTCTTGCCGTACTTGGTTTGGCACTCGGTGATATCTGCCTCAATGGTGGGGTAGTAGGACAAGCCGGGTGCAAGCTTCTTCATCTGGGAGCTTTGCGTGCTCGTCATGCATGGATTCTGATCACACTTGTTAGAGTATTACGTGCATAGGGGCATGGGGACGTACCAGCTGCAACCGAGGGTAGATGCTCACGCCGTACGTTACCTCAGACAAGAAGCCTAGGATCACGACATCTACGTTGGGGTCGGAGCATATTTCCAAGAGGGTACCCTCGACTTCTGCTCCTGGTAGGCCGAAAGTGACTGCAACATTGCCAGACGACTGCGGGTCGAAGTCCGACGCCACATGTGCTGGAGCTCCTGTGGTAGCCGCCGTTGGGTTTGGTGTTGGCGTAGCCCCATTCTCTGTAGGCTGTACGCTCGCTACGCACGCGTCGTCCGTTTCACCAGCGACGGCTGGCGCGAGTGAGGGCACGACACTCGTTGAGAAATCAGGAAGGCTGCCAGACCGCGAGGGCATTCCCTAAGAAGGGATGCTGGGCACAGATGCAGAGGCTTCGGGACCCACCAGGTTGGGAAGGCTCATGGAGAAGCTAGAGGGCGCAGAAATAGAGGTGGAAATAGTCGAACTTGGCTTCGGGGTGGCCACCTGTGATTGACTGACCGGGACGGGTAGTGATATTTGAGGCAATGGAGGCGTTGACTGGCTACTTGAAGAAGCTTCTGGTGCCGATATTGAAAAGGGGGGCAGAACACCACCTGGAATGGGCAAGCTAGGCAAGAGAATTTTCGAGATCGACTTTGATGGTAAGGGGGTTGCGGAGGCCGAGGCAGCAGGTACCGAGACAGGCGCAACTGGCGCACTTGATGCGGAAGGCAAGTCTACAGAAACGGAAGGCAGCGCGACCCCAAGATCCGACTGCGATGGTAGGCCGACTGGCGGAAGAGATACCTCGGGCAGGGAGACGTCTGGAACAGAAATCGAAGGCAGCGCCGCCGACGGCACTGAGATCGCGGGGCTCGAGACCGACGGAAGCGAGTTGGCGGGAACGGAGCTGCTAGTCAATGCTGGGATGGAGGGCAGAGAAGCTCCGGGTACAGAGACCTCAGGGAGCGAAACTGGTGGCAAGGAGACCGAAGGCGATTCTGGGTTTGCGGACACCTCGGAGGGGTCCGACGGCCCCCGGATAGAGGCACCAGGCAAAGACACAGACACTCCAACGGAAACGCCAGGAATGCTAACCGATATAGCAGGGCCGGTTACCGCAGGTAGTGAAGCCCCTGGCAACGACACGGAGGGTAAACCCAAGCCAATAGAGACTCCAGGCAACGACACCGAAGCCCCGTTCGAGGCCCCAGAGACGCCTACTGCTGGGGGTGTTACCGACGGTAGCGCCGCAGACGGAACTGATAGCGAAGGGAGTCCCAGGGATCGCGACGCGCTGACTGAAATCTCGGGAAGGCCGACCGAAGAGCTGGGCACCGAAAGTGAGGGAACAGGCACCGGAATCACCACCGCGGGGCCACCGGCGACAGCAGAAGCGCTGGCACTCGCAGGCCCACCAGTCAACTGTGCAAGACATTGCGAGAGCTGGATATCCACAGCCAACGTGGCCGCCGCTCCATTGTCATGAACTGTCACGGTCTTGGTGTAGGTCGTAGTCACAACACGCACGCCTGGAACCATGTTAGTAAGAAAGCAACGAGATCGTTGGGACACTCCAACCAACCTATTGCTTGAGCGACGGCGAGTTGTTCCAGGATCGTCACACTGTCACCGACTAAGATGCTGCGGAGCGTCTCTAGAACGTCGGAGAGGGGAGGGACGACGCCACCCAGTAATCCTAAGAGGTTGTTGAGAAGCCCGGTGTCTTGGGTTGCTGCGAAGGCCGATATTTGGGCATAGACAAAGCGTAGTTGAGAGAGCAACTCCGCGAGATGGGCCGGTGTGAGCTCGAGGTTTGCCGCAGCAGTTTGTTGTTTCTCCTCCTGGTGTAGGCCCCGGCGAGAAGGTACCTCATCAGGACTCGCGTATCCAGCTGCGGCGAAAAGGGGTACATCTCTCCTAATGATAGGTGTCGATGGCTTCTCGACAACCGCGAGGCCTGTTGCGGCCGAGAGTCCGCAAAGGACGAAGGGAACTAGGCGGCCGAAATGTTTTCATCTTGCTGCTGGCTGTCTAGTGTCGAGTGCTACTGACCCAGGAAGTCTCTCGTTCCTTGGACACATCGTACTTGGAGATATATAGTCAATTGTCACTATCATGTTAATCAGATCAATAGACGCGATCCACGCGTCGTGTTGATTCCTCACTCCACGGCGGGAAGCCGGAATCTCCATGCCTGCTATTGCGATGAGACTCCTCGCGACCAAGGGCGCGCATTGACAAACGGGCCAGTTCGCCATGTATTCAATTTTTTATTTTATTTTTATTTTTGAAATGCCATGGCGTTATATTACGAGGAATGTGAAAGCGCTCTTGCGGGATCTCGCCACGGAATAAGACTGGGTCATGGAATGGACGGTGGTCGAAAACGATTGGAAGCCGAGACAACATCCCGGTGGTTTGGGCTTTCGCGATCTAGACTTCTAGTTAAGAGTCGCCATTTCTGGGCCGTGAAATGCTCTTGACGGGCCATCGCTCGATGCGAAGACGTTTGATCAAATGCACTCTCTGGTAAAACTTTGATCATTCCTCGTTGTACTTGCATTGGAGCCCCCCAGAGACGGACGCAGAGGCAGTGGAGAAATGGAAAGGGGAGATGGTAAGAATGATGTGCGACTGCGGCGGCGTGAGGCGTTGATCTCAGGGAGGTTTCAAGAAGTTTTGGCTGCATCTGAAACAGGCATCGTTCGCGATGCCCCGAGCGATGTTGATCAATTGCGAAGCTCACGGCAACTTGGCTGCTTTTTGGGCTTGCCCATGCCCACGCAGATCGGGAATCTGCTTCATGGGAATTTGGCGCTTGGAAGCCGCCTCTCCGATGATTGATTGGTTTCGCGGTTGGTCCGGGAGGATGCGGGCGCGAAGGAAGGGTCCGGTGTTGGGCGAGATGCTCCAGCATCATTCATTACCCACCATGTCGAAACCAGTTGGCGGGTTGCACTGCACTGCCAGTCAAGCTGGGGAGGCGTAATATGCGCGTGAGTGGCCAACGGAGTTGATCCCATTCCGGTCGTCGGCAAGCTAGGGTGGAACTCAAAAAATATCGTCAATAACTCGACGGACGGTCTCATCCATGCACTCGGATGGAGTGACGAATTCTTCGGCTGCACCGGGTCTGAGGTAGATGGACAGGGAAGAAGAATGAGCGAGAATTGTCTGGCTACGGTTTCCACTGCTTGACTGGTCTGATGTGTTCGCACGGCGTGAGACTTCAGCAGGTGATGTGGATGCGACCGTCACCGTAAATGGAGGCTACCACCTTGCCACCCCAGCCTTCGCTCTCTCTTGTCCTTTCATCCATTGCATCCATTGCCCGAAACGGTTTGGCTTTCAAGTCTGTGCCGATGCAAATGTGTCAAAACCCAACGTCAGGAGGGCGCAGTGGATGACGGATGCAGATTGGGAGCCACATTCTGTATTCGTATGTCAGGTCGTACCTTCCATACCTTACTTATCCCGTCATCGCTTGCAAATTTCAAATTGCTGCCTGCTCGTTATCATTCGGGGTTTTGGGTTTGCCTGTTCACCCTTCTCTCTGCATCACGAGACGGGCGACGACGGGCGACGACGGGAGGTCGTCCCGGTTTTCATCCCGTGATACACAATGAAAAAGGGGTTGGGAGGGTGGAGAGACGGTGAGGTTCCAGAGATGCAGGGCGCACCTTGGCGACCGTGCTGTCCCTCCATCTTCCGTCTTTTCACTCAGTTCGGCATTTCAAAAAAGACATTCCTCATTGAGCCCTCCACAAACGAGGAAAAGCCTGGTCAACAGACGGGGCCATCATGTTGAAAATCATCTGCGAGGGTAATTTGGGGCGCGCTTGCAGGCCCCGTCGGCAGGACGCACCGCCATTGGCCGAGGGGGCTTGGCTGAAGGTACATATGTACTTAGGGTTGGGGTTATACGTGTAATGCCCAGAAAAGTAAAGACGAGACTCCCTTGTTGGAGACTCCGCGCGCAGTGTCCCCCTCGGTTCCTCACAAGTCAACTGCCCGACCTGATTCTTTGGCAGCATGAAGGCAAAACAGGTGGACGGGCGCCCGCCGCCTCACCATGGCTGCGAGGGTCCAGAATCCACCACACCCGTCCATCATCCTTCTTCCCTTCCCTCCCCAACCCAACCGAATGCCCACCACGTTCGCATCACCACATTCATCGCCGCCCTCAGCGAACCAACCCGTACCCGCTGTCGCCGACGCGAAATAAAAGTGCGACGCCAAAAGTCGAAGTCGCAGATTCTCACCCCAAGCTGATTGTGTGCGCCCCTTGCACGCCCAGCCAGTGGATCGCCCATCTTTCCGAGCCATCCACGCCTGGGCTAAAGCATCATCACTGTGACAAAGCAAATTTTCCCCTTCTACCACTCCTTCATCCTCGTTCCACGTCGTCGTCGTTTCCCATTCAACCACCCACACACCACACCTCATCGACACATTCGACGCGATTTTTCTCGAAGCGATGGCTCCCTCTAGCAAGAACGCCGCTGTAGCCAAGGACCGGCGCAAGTCGGCCAACTCGACTGCCCCGACCGTTGTCAGTGCAGGCTCCCCCAAGCCGACTCAGATCGTCACCCTCAAGGTGCCAGCCCAGAAGCTGCGGGCCATACTTGACCCCGATTTCATCAAGGAAGATACGCCGGCTAAGCAGTCACCTGCTGCAGCGGCTGCCTCGGGCACCGAGAATGCATCAGACTCCACCCCTAACTCACCTCCGGCCGGTACGCCCGCGGCTCAATCTGTCACCATGGGCCCGCCAACCGAAGGTCTCAAGAAGAAAGGAGTGAAGAGAAGTGCAACAGCCGCCGCAAATGGCAATGGAGAACCCAAAGTCCGAGGAAAGCCCGGCCCGAAGAAGAAGCAGAGACTGTGAGTGCTCGCTGCCCTCCCCTTCGTGCATTGCCCTGTGCTAACTATGACATTAGTGAAGACGGAACTATCGAAGGTGGGCGAGGCTCGCTTGCCGCGCACAAGCTCGGCCCCAAGGCCAATCAAGGCGCCATCAATGCCGGCTTGCGAGCGCTGGACCGGTCTGGCAAGCCATGCCGCAAGTGGAGCAGGGGCGGCTTCACATTGAAGACCTTCACGGGAGTCGTGTGGGAGATCCCGCGCTGGACGGCACCGCCGAAGCCCCGACCCGAGGAGTCGGCCGATGGGTCTACGGCTGCGTCCGAGAGCAGCAACAAGGAGAACAAGGAGGACAACAGCCAGGTTAAGAGCGAGGCGAGCAACAATGGCGGGGACGTCGAGATGCAGGGCACACCGAGCTTCGCCGCCGACAACTCACCAGCACCAGTCCCGATTGCCGCTGCATGATTCTTCTCGCTCTTCCTCTCCTTTGTTTTTCCCCCTGGTTTTCTTTTAGATGTCGGTTGCTCGGGTTTGGAGGGGTTTGCTAGGTACATTGGTATGGGAGTTTGGGCGCTGTACGATGGGTAATGGGAAAACAGCACTGGGATAGCGAGTTACGTGGTCTCCCACGAGCACCAGCAGGCACGGCGTTTAGGAGTATAGAGGTTCCCATGGATCACTCGGCCATGTACAACACCAGGCATCAGCATGGTTTGCGGGCATCAATCAGGTAGCGAGACTAGGTTCACACAACAAGCACAATAGATATTATCAACACATTCAATGACCGCCAGGTGCCAAAACCAGGCAGGTGCAGACGTACTCGAGGGAGTGTCTGTTTAATAATGCTTACCCCCACTCTCATGTCTACATGGCGTTGCCTGCCTCATTGTTGCATCAAGCGCAAAGAGTACATGACCCCTTCGCCCTGAATTCTTTGATCATGGCAAAGCCACAACAGCTTCCGGTACCGGCGGTCGAGTGAGCTGCGCATTCCGGGAATGTGAACCGGTGTCTTTTTCATCGGCACTAGCGGGAAGCAAGCTGTCTCAAGTTCAGTGTTCTGGTCCAGTAGCTCTGGGTGTTATGGAAGCAGCATCGCCAGCCATTGGGGGCCGTCCCTGTTTGAGCCATCGCACAGAGAGATTGCGTTGTCCCTTCTTCCCTTGCTCGATTTGTGCCCACCTCCCCCATCGCCTTGTCCTCCAATTGGAGGTGGGCAGGTCAGCCCCCTTGGAGCTTGGAACAGCGGGTAACTAAATTGGAAGTGGGACCAGTTCTTCAGCACAGCTCTTCCACTGCCGGGCAGCTTCTGGGGGCACCTTGATTGCCACGCAGACAGACCGCCGTGGGCTGTTCCCAGCTTAGCGTTAGGGGCCCCATGATCCCGCTTGGCTTGCTTCTGGCTTGCACCAGCCCCGAACCCCCAAAGACCCCACTGGCTGGCAGAGACCCGCAACCCGAAAGTCAAGGGCTCCATTTTGACTGGACTCCGACTCCCCGTCACGACTGAACATGATCAAGAACGAAACGGACAACAGGAATCAACCCCATCTCGCCTTTACTGATCTTAGGGCAAGCCTATCTTTCTCTCCGATTGGGTACCGGAGTACAGTTTTACATGTCCCAGAATTAATATTTTTTTTCCCCTCCATATCTCTTTTAATGCAGAGTTGGCAGAGCTAGTACCCATTTGCGCATCGATGACATAGCGGCCGACGCAGGAGCGAGGACCAAGTTGGGACGCCAGATTTACTCCGGGGTTATCCCAAGACTGACCCAGCCCACGGCCGGCTTATCTCAAATCGCTCGAACACGTCAATACCCTTATTCGGTAGCCCTGCGATCCCCCTCTCTTAACGGAAAAGCTCGGAGCCACAGGAGGGCCTGGCAACCCGAACAGCCCCCGCCGAGGGTTCCCGCCGGACAACGCCCCGATCTGACTTGGCTGCGACGTGACGTCCTTCTGCACGTACCTCGCCTCCACTGCTGTCCTCTTTGGGCATCTCATAGCCCCTCACCATGACAAACCCCTACCAACAACATGATATCGGGTCAAACATCGACCCTCTAGCTTCCGGCCGACTGCCACCCCTCAACGCCCGCCGACCATCCTATGCTTCCGTCGTTTCCGGGAGCCCTTCGGCCCTCGCTCGTCCCACCCGTTCGGGCGGCTTTTCCCACCTTCTCAACCCCTCGCCTGACTCGGAACAACAACAAGCTCAGTCGAGCAACCCCTATTCGACGACACAAAACCCCCGCTTCGAGACCGGCATGTCATACACACACAATGGCGAGGAACTCCCAACGATGGACGACACATACGAGGCCGTCGGCGGCGGTTTCTGGCCACCGCGCCTCGGGGCGACTTTTCCATATTTCTCCCGCGCCTTCGTCCTCTACGTAGAGCAAGGACCCGCTGCTCGCCCTGCGACCCCTCAGGTCCTGACTACGCCCGTTTCCCGTCCACCAACACGAACACCAATCTCAGTACCCCCGGTTTCCTCTCGCCGTCGTACCTGCGGGGGGTCGACCTACCTACAGAAGCTAGAGAGAGCAACACAGGGCGAGGATTCTTGCCGAGCGAGAGGGGACCGGCTTCGACCGGGGCACCACCATCATCAATCTCTGGGCTCGCGGCTATCGACCAACGGGAGTTCGTCACACCTACCCCACGGTCGGAAATGAAGGCGACTGGCACTACCCCATAGGGGGGTGGCTTACGACATTGTCGAGCACCCACTTGTCTCCGGCCGACGAGGACGACACTGTTAGCCCACTTCCGTCGAAGTGGAATCGGGACGATAAGGAAGCGGCTCTGGGAGGTCCTGGGCGACGGGTACGAAGTCAGGCATACGGGGAGGGCGTTGAGCGACCACGAGGCGAGCGCCATCCGGGCGGACCACTACATGTCGCCGGCGTGCGGGGTGTATTATTTTGAGATCACAGTTCTGAATGGGCGGCACGATAAAATCAAGTAGGTGGCAACCGCAGAGGCATTGGCTCGGTTTTAAGGGGACATGTTTACTGACCGAGCCTGACTGGTACAGAACTCCACCGATCGCCATCGGCTTCGCGAGTAAAGCGACCTCGACATCACGGGCGCCTGGCTGGGAGCCAGACTCCTGGGGCTACCACGGCGATGACGGCCACTCGTTCGCGTCTCAAAACGTAGGGAAACCCTACGCCGACACATTCGGCGTAGGCGACACGATCGGCTGTTTAGTCAACTTTCGGCTCAATCAAGCGCTGTTTACATTGAATGGCCGAGAACTACGTACGTTGAGTCCCAGACGTTCTCTGCTCCATTCCCACTCGGGTAGTCACTGTGTTGCCATGAGTCCACTGTCCTTTTGCATCTACCTCGTCCGCACGCCGCCTGTTCCGCTTCTCAACCCGCATAGCCCAGCGCTGACACAACGCAGCTGTTGCTTTTAAAGATATGGGCTTCAAAGACCTCAAAGGGAACCTGTACCCCATCGTCGGTCTCAAGAAGAAGGAGGACCACATCATGGCCAACTTTGGTCAGAGGCCTTTTGAGTTTGATATTGACGGATACATGAGGGTACGTTTTCTTCTACCCCTGAACATGCCAAGCAGCTGCCCCCTTTTCTTTTCTGTATACTCGGGCGCCGGGGAAAGCACAACCTTCGGGGGCACCGCAGGTGCCATTCCCAAGAGCTAGGAAACTCCGTCCGGAGCTGCAAGTGCTTGCTGTAACTTCCGCTGCAGCTGCACTGAAGCCCCCCTTCTTCATCACCTAAGACCCACCCCCTAAACGCCATTGTCTCGCATTCCATCCTCCACGCCCGCTCAACCTCTAGCTTTCGCGCCTTCTTGCTTTATTGTCGTCGCTTGCACAGCTATGGAATCGTCGCGACGACCAAAAAAGCGGCCCCGCATTCATCGGTCATTGCTAACCTATCTTCTTGGCGGACAGAGACAACAAGGGATGATCGAAGAGGAAATACGCCTCGCCGATGCGTCCAAGCTCGTGCCCGGCTTGTCGGAGACGGACATCATTCAGCAGCTAGTAAGTGTCGACTCATTTCACTTGGCCACTTCAGACTAACCTCCACGATAGGTACTCCAGTTCCTACAACATGATGGCTACGTTGAGACAGCGCGCGCCTTTGCTGAGGAACTACACACCGAAAAGATGGCTCTCCAGTTGGACCCACAAGAACCTGTGAAGGGCGTCAGCGTCCGCGACGATGAGGACGCCCATAACCGGCAGCGCATCCGCCGCGCTGTGCTCGAGGGTGATATCGACCGCGCCATGAAGTACACGGACGCCTACTACCCGGCTGTCCTTCGTGATAACGAACAGGTCTACTTCCGACTGCGCTGCCGCAAATTCATCGAGATGATCCGCAAGGAGGCCGAGCATAAACATAATGCTCGAAGAGCGGGGAGTCAGCCCACACCAACGGCAGGGGACAGGCGGCCCGGTGACAACGACGAAGAAATGTTCGAGGCCGAGCCGAGTCACAACGGCACGACCACCGCGAACGGTGATGGTGACTTGGACATGACCATGGCAGAAGCTGGGGACGGTGCCGGCGGCAGCGATCCAGCCGCCCGGACTCAGCAAATTATCGCAAGAGGCGCTGTTGTACGGCGTCGAACTGCAGGCCGAGTTTTGCCAAGGGGACTCCCGCCGGGAGACAGTCAAGCAGCTCGACGACATCTCATCGCTGTTTGCGTACCCGAACCCGCTTAAGGTCAAAGGAAGTGGCGCATTTGCTCGACGGGAGCAGGCCGCGTGGCAGTGGCGGAGGAGTTGAATAGCGCTATTCTGAGTAAGCTTCTCCTATTTTTTTTTGTTATATGTTCTTGCTTGTTATATACTAACGACGATTTACAGTGTCACTCGGGCAAATCATCGCGTGCGGCGCTGGAAAATGTTTACGCCCAGACTTGCGTGCTGCTAGAAAGCCTGAGAAAGGACGGCGGCGACGGCGCGTTTGTCACAGTCGACAACGTGGTCAGGGATATACCCCCGTCGAGACTGCGCTAGGATTGCTCGAGAGGCGCATGGGTGGGCGGCGGCGATACACCGTCCTAGCGGGAAGTGGTTCGACGTTGCGCGGGGGCGTAGTAGGTTGGTTTTCTCGGCCCGTGCTAGATGGCGCCCGTATTGGTGTGGTGGTGCTATCCGTGCTGGTTTACGGAGCGCGGGGGGGTTGGGCACTTGCAGTCACTGTGGCGCGTATGGGGACGCTTTCTTTCGTTTTCTTTTTCCTCCCTCTCTCCGTACGTATATACTTACACTCATGATGCGGCGTCGGGGCGGCTACGGTTGGCCTGGTCTGGCCTGGGGTCTGGCCTCTCTTTTTTCTGTCCGGAGAGTTTGATTGGGTCTGTGGTGTTTTTTGCTGGCTGGGAGGGGTGATGGCGGTTCAGGTATGTTAGGGAAAGGGGAAGGGGGACTATTGGGGCTTTGGGCCGGCTGGCTTTGAGTTTGGGGGCTGAGAATACTTAGTGTACCTGGTATACTCAAGTTGGCTTGCTAGCTGTTGCTGTTGCTGCTATTGCTGTTGCGTTTGCTTTTGGCTTTGAGCTTCTGGCTGGCTTTTA